ATATATATATATATATATATATATATGTTCCGTGCGTTGATTATCATTGGAGACGTAGAGCAACAGGTGTGACCACGACACACGATTCTCTGCGGGGAGAAATCCACGTCGATGTACTCGGTACAATGACTCCAGTCAAGAAATCATTTCCATAAATACCTTGACAGCAGCGTTTCACCGAGTCCGCTGGATTCCTCTGTTCCGCAGTTTCGGATCCGTACGGAACAACTCGGAGATATAAAAGAAATCACAGCTCGCGCGACGTAATGGGAACTCTCACACAATGGTTTTACTTACCTATTTACAAAATTTTCACGATTACGCACGCACTAAAAGAAGAGGAAAGAGAAAAGAGAAGGAGGAGAAGCTTTCGGCAGAGAGCCAGGTGCCGACCATGCTCAACTGGAAATACTGAACGACTACCTGATTGCTCTTCGCCTGTTTGCCTCTTACCTGTTTTGCCCAGGTACATTCCTGATGCGTACTCTCTCATTGGTTGAATCGTTACCTATGCAACATGGCGGTGAGATCTAACGGAATCAGATATTTTCAACAGAACGAGTAGGATATTGTAATTGAGGTGTAATTGGCTGATCGACAAGTAATTGATGACCATCGATGTTACGATCTTCTAAATTGCACAGCGGAATGAAATAAAATTGAAAGTTGAAAAGCAGGGCTGCCAAGGTAATAGAAAAAAAGAAACAAAAAAAAAATGAAAATTATGATTTGGGAAAAGTTTGATAGCTTTAATAACAAGCCGAGTGTAATTATTTGTAATAATTATATATTATGAACACTTCTGTTTTATTGTTAATGAAACAATAAAACATGCAAATTATTCAGCAGATGATTTATATGTTCTTGAAAACTTCAAAGAGAGAACAAATGATTATTCATTATAACGACAGGACATAAAAATTTTTAAAAGTAGACATTTACAGATCAATATCAGATATAGAACGAAATACATAAATCAATATAAATATAACAACAGTTAAATTGTAAATATTAAGGTTATTTCAGATATGTAATAAACTCTTGCGACATTAAAATTATTTATTCACAATAATTATTTGTTAGATTACATAGATTAAATAAAACTTAGAAGAATATATATAATTGCACTATATGCTTTTTTACTCATTTGCTAAATTTCATTGTAATGTCAAAATTTTATTTTAACAGAAATTACATTAAAACATCAATTGTAGTTTTACTACATGTAAATGTTAAAAGGTTATGTATCATTTTCATAATCTTTTAGATTCTTGCGGTGTAATTTATGATTTTCCTCGTTTGCCCATTCCATTAGCAGATAAGTTCCAAGGAAGACTGTAACGTAAAATGAAACATCTTAATAATTAAGAACAGATAACTAAGAACTAGATAACTACAATGTAAAAATCTATAAAGTTATACAACTATAACGGGTTAAGATTATTATTAATTGATTATAATTAATCATACAACTATACTGGTAGGATTATTGTTTAATTAATAACTAGTAAGAAATACTTACAAGGTCCATAGTGTAGAACATGTGTTCTGTAGTGTCTTATAAATCGTCCAATGCTTGCACCTATTCCAGCAAAAGGACTTTGTTCGTATGGACTAAGACGGAAAAATGTAACGCCAGTTACTCTTTCAAGCTCTCCAAATTTCTTCCCCATTTTGCTAGAAAATAAATATTTAGAACATGAATATAAACGAACTTCTAGAACATGAATATAAACGAACATAACCAAGAAATAGAATAAATGTTAAAAAACGTCATTACAAATTTTATAGATAAAATTTTTAAAAACGAACTTTAATTACTTATTACTTTTTAAAGATTAATAATTACTCATTAAGTGTAAAAAGCTTTGTTTCAAAATTATATAACTTATATAATAAATTAATCAGAACCTACCGACTTGGAACACTCCAAACGCGCAAATATCTACCTCTAAAATATATTTGCTAGATGGCATGTTTTATCGTTTGCACGTTAGGGCGCCAAATTGAAATTATGATATACAATACAAATTCGTATTAACGTTAATACATTCGCAGTACATATATTCATATTAGAATTACGTTCTATATAACAATAAAAATCATTATTTTTTTCACGAACAATTTTGCGTACAGTATATTATTACATGAATATAAATATATCACAGTACGTGTATCCGTCAATTTTTGATATTTAATGCAAGAGAATAAAAATCATAACGTATTCAATCAATTCATCTGTAAAATGTTTGTGATTTTATTTTTTGTTTTATATTTCAGAAATAAATAATTAAACTTACGTAATGAAGATAAATACTAGCACTTCATAGGGAATTTTTGTTTTTACTTGTTCTTTATTATACTTACAACTTCAGCTTGGGTCTTTATACAGTTCAAATATAGTATCTCAGTATATCGATATTCGTCAGGTTCATACATGAATTACCAAGGGGAATTTTTTTTGCAACGAATAAATAATCTTTTTATATTTACATTTATGATTTCAATTTTATACATGTGTATATATCTGTATGTGTGTATTATATATAAAAAAAAACGTAAATGAAAAACTATTATCCGTTCTTCGATACAAGGTGGCGCCACTATCGTATTGTAGTGAAGTAGGTAGTAGGCACACAAGGGAAGAAGTGGTGTACGAATCAAGGAATAGGACAGTTGCTCGTGTGCGAGGCTCCGCGTGATATCGTAGATTGTGTGTACTGTGTTTGTTTGTGCTTGTTACAGCCTATATTGTCAACTGCTTCTCACGAGGTACACAAATGCAGTTAATAAAGATGGTTTATCGAAGCAGATTCCCAAATAAATTGCTGCCGCCGATGACCGAGTAACTGACGTGCTAGACCTGACACGAGGTCCTCACCTGCGTTAGATACGTGTGGGCCATCTATCCGCGTCCAAGCTGTGTCGAGGCATCCAAGTCATGGTATCGAAGTTCGACACAAACTTCGGTTGTGAGGATTTTTTCGGGACTTATCGTTGCACCCAAGACATGGCTTGTGATCGTGGTGATTCGGACTTCGAGTTCATCATACCGCCAGAAGCGCCGGTCTTCGAACCAAGTACTGAAGAGTTTCACGACCCCCTTGGCTACATTGCGAAAATACGACCGATCGCAGAGAAGTCTGGCATTTGTAAAATCAAGCCGCCGCCTGTGAGTAGATCCTTCGTTATCGTATTTACATCAATATTTTCCTCTCGTTGCGCTCTCTCTCTTTCTCTCTCTCTCTCTGTCTGTCTTTGTCTCACTCTTTTCTCTACCTTATCACAAAGAAGGACATGATACATGCATACACCATCCATGTTCCTTATTTAAAAATCTGATACTGGAGCGAATAGGTAACTTTATGTTTCTTTTTCTTTTTTTTTTTTTTTTTTTTTTTGTGTATTGTGAACGTGCAGATATGCACACACGACCTCGTTTACGCACTATGACGCTTCCGCACGAACATCACATAGCCGTGACATCATAAAATAAACGAATATCCCGTGTAATATGCACTTTAGAAAAATTTTCTCCTACATGCACTTAACAACAGTGGGCAGGATTTTCTGTGTTCGTGCGTATTATGCGTACATCAATTGGTAAGATTTTTCCGCGTTCCGCGTTATAAGAAATTCAGATTCGGTGAGAAGGCCACGAAATGTTTCGTAAGACAATACGATCAGAAGGGAAAGAAGGGACTTCGATTTGTTATCACGAAGAGATTCTTTTTTTTATTTCCATTATGCCCGTGTATTGTTAGCATTTTCATCATTGTCTCGAACACGTACGTACATATGTGCCGGATATCTTTTCCATGTTGGGATGAGAAGCTAGAATTGGGAGTGACAGCGTTTTCGGAAGTAGGAAAAACTCTAGAATGGAAGTACGTTAGGCACCCGTTTCATTGCGACATTAATATCGTTATATGTAGCTAGAAGGTACGCTATGTAAAATGGCCGAGACAATCGAAACAATGTCACCTTAGGAGAACATCTTGAAATGTTTCGGAAATTTTCTACGATACCCAACACACATGGACAGATCGACGGAGAAAGCTCTGAAATAATTATCAGCGTTTACGGGTAACGATCTTTCCGAGGCAGGCTCTCTGTTATCGTAATATTATCGATAGGGGAATCATTTTCGTGTATAGCCAGAAGTAACTATTTTGTCTAAAAATATTCGGAAAGTATCGCAAGTTTTTCTGCAGACACGTTCCGTTGTGTCACGCTATAGTAAACTCTCTTTTCTTTGAGACTCTTTGTGCAAATCAGTTTGTTTCAAGAATTTGACACAATTTCTTTCTTTCTTTTTTTTTGTGTGTTTTCAGCCTCACGAGGCGGAAAAGCTGACACGCAGTGCCGTTAAATTTTGTCGTTCTTTCCCTGAGTCGACTTTTTTCGGGAAAGCCGTTCAGCCGTTCAAATTTTACAAATTCTTCGCTTTGATTTGTATCGCCGTTAAAATTGATTTGAGCCACCATTTTGTTTTCACACGTGCAAAGAAAGATTTTATAATGTAAATTTTTCAGCTTATGTCTTGATTGCGACAGCAGTGAGAAATTTGGTAGCAACTTTAGAATTGAATTCAGTGCCGAAAATCTTGATTCTTTGATATGCGATGATCGTCTGAAAAATGTACAAATAATATAGCACATACACATGAATAACAACTTAACTAAAGTTACAAAATCTAAGCTAATAAAATCTATATCTATTGAGAAAATTGTGCAGTCATTGCCTTTCTAAATGCATTATACAATTTTTTTCTTTCTCAGATGAAGATATATTTTTTTACATATTTAACAAAAAAAATATTTATTACATTAATTTGTTCAATTGTTTGTATAATTATTAACCTCATAATTATTGAAGTGATTCAAAGGTATGTTGAGTTTTACAAACAACAATACTATTCTCTCAGCTTTCAAAGAAACACTGTTTAAATTCATAATTTTTTTTATTAGTGTTTCTTTGACGACGATATATGCATATTAGTTTTATAACTCTTAATATTTCTCTCCTCGTTAATTACTTGAATTCTTAAAAAAATTTTTTTTTACAATAATTGTTACTTTTTATCAGGGGAAATCGATCTTTTTCTATCTATCTAATAATTCTGACCATAAATCATAATTTATGTATTAATCTATTTAAGTGTAATTCATTACTCTTTGAGAAAATTCATATTTTCTAACGGGATGACGCCATTACGGAAATAACTATGGTCACGGCATTAAACGGGCATCGTATATGGAGAAAAGCTTTGTGATATTTATGTATTTTCAACTTGAGATGCGACAATATGTTTTATACCGAAAATGTTGTTTCGTTATTTATTGTGTCGGTGTAATTTCACTAGAACGCATAAAATGTCATATCATCACAACAACAAAATAATTCGCACCTCTATTTTTCTCTTTATAGTTGTTTTAGTCTCTTTATTATTTGTTTTTCGAAAAGTTGACTGATCTTACAATGGTGTTGCGTCACGGTAAAGATGAAGCTACGAAAGCATTTATCGATTATTTAGTCACATATATTTATGTGCTACTATATATTTTACTAATAACATACTAATATTTTAGGATAAATAAAATTAAAACGAAAGTAAATTTCCTTGTATGTGTTAGATAAGTATTAATAAAAAGTGGCAAAGATAATTTTGTAATACTGTTATACTATACTCTGCGTACAAATTTCCATTTTGTTAAATTAATTGACACCTGACGATCTGAAACTGAATTACGTATCGTGCATATCGAATTAAAGTCATAATAAATTAAAGTCATAATAAATGTTGTGCATTTCTTAAAATGCATTGTTTTACGTTTTTTTGTATAAACTTGATATATAGATTACGTTACATTGATAGACATTAAAAGTTATTGCTTAATAAATAGAAATATATATTATATATATATCACCAGGATGTTAGTTTTATTTTATATAGTTATTTTATGTAGTTATTTTATATAGATATTATTTTATATAGTTAATTTTTCAATATGTTTACTTATAGAATTATTTTTAATAATTTCCAATAAGACACAAGAATATCTTTCAGATCTTACATAATAGTTATTAACAATTCATATTCCTTGTATTACTAGTATAATACTAAGTTATTTTGTATATATAATACTACAGTTATTTTACTTTTCAATGTCAGTATAATTTTTTGCAAGTAAAGATAATAAAAATATGTATAAATTAATTTTATGAATTTATTTTCTCCTTTTTTATAGAATTGGCAGCCACCATTTGCTGTTGATGTCGATAAATTCAAATTTGTTCCAAGAATACAAAGACTAAATGAATTAGAGGCAAAAACGAGGATAAAACTTAATTTCTTAGATCAGATTGCAAAATTCTGGGAACTTCAAGGTTCATCTTTAAAAATTCCTCTTGTTGAACGCAAAGCTCTTGATTTATATTCTCTGTATAAGATAGTTACTGATGAAGGTTTGTTGTTTTGCCATTTAATTATTAATTTATTATTAATTTCGTGCTTTCTGTCTATCAACGTTATATGTCATAATGTTTTTTTAGGAGGAATTGAAACAGTAACAAAAGAAAGGAGGTGGGCAAAAATTGCAAATAAATTAGGTTATCCTTCTGGACGCAGTGTTGGAAGTATTCTAAAAAATCACTATGAACGTATTTTATATCCATTTGATGTTTTTAAACAAGGAAAGACATTGGCAGATATTGTGAGTTATTGTTATTCTTTATTTATATATATTATAACTTTTTTTTTCAACAATGTATAATGCATACATATAATGTATATCGATTTATGCAGAAAATTGAACCAGATTCTAATGTAACTGGAAAGAAAGATAGAGATTATAAACCACATGGAATTATATCTCGACAACAAATTAAACCCCCAGCTGAGAAATTTTCACGTCGGTCAAAAAGATTTACTAGTCAGGAAGAAAAGCCAGAAGTATCTATAAAACAAGAAGATTGTAAAGAGGAATGTGATTCTGACAATGATTGTAAAGATGGAATTAAAAATAAACAATATAATGACGATAAAGATAATAGCAAGGAACTTAAAAAATTACAATTTTATGGACCTGGACCAAAAATGGCTGGATTTAATACTAAAGAAGGAAAAAAATCAAACAAAACTAGAGGAGTAAAGCTTGTTTATGAAGTCGATCCAGTGAGTGCATATTATATGTTCAATTATATGATATGGTTCAATTATATTATATGATATATATTTGTAAAATTTGTTTTCTCTTCCTTAATTCATGCTTGTATTTTTTTAGTTGGCAAAGTACATTTGTCACAATTGTGGAAGAGGTGACAATGAAGAAAATATGCTTTTATGTGATGGATGCGATGACAGTTATCATACCTTTTGTCTTATGCCGCCATTAACAGAAATACCAAAAGGTGATTGGAGATGTCCAAAGTGTGTTGCAGAAGAAGTTTCTAAGCCGATGGAAGCATTCGGATTTGAACAGGCACAAAGGGAATATACTCTTCAACAATTTGGAGAAATGGCTGATCAATTTAAGAGCGATTATTTCAACATGCCCGTACATGTATGTTATCTTATTGTATTTTGCAATGTAATGTAATTGTAATGTAGTGTGATTATACATATTTGCTAATACTTTTCGTAGATGGTGCCGACATCATTAGTGGAAAAAGAATTTTGGCGAATAGTTTCTTCAATTGATGAAGATGTAACTGTAGAGTATGGAGCAGATTTACACACAATGGATCATGGATCTGGCTTTCCAACAAAAACAAGTGTCAATTTGTTCACATGTGATCAAGAGTATGCTGAATCTTCATGGAATTTGAATAATTTACCAGTTTTACGTGGAAGTGTATTAGGTCATATAAATGCTGATATTAGTGGCATGAAAGTACCATGGATGTATGTTGGAATGTGTTTCGCAACATTCTGTTGGCATAACGAAGATCATTGGAGTTATTCGATCAATTATTTACATTGGGGAGAGCCAAAAACATGGTATGGTGTGCCAGGCTCTCAAGCGGAACGATTTGAACAATCGATGAAATCGGCTGCACCAGAATTGTTTCATAGTCAACCAGATTTACTTCACCAGTTAGTTACTATCATGAATCCAAACATTTTAACGAATGAAGGTAATTTTTAATTGTTCTTCTTTTAATTATGCAATAAATTATTATTATTACTATTTATATTTGGCCTTTAGGTGTTCCAGTATTCAGAACTGATCAACACGCAGGAGAGTTCGTGGTAACATTTCCAAGAGCGTATCACGCAGGTTTTAATCAGGGATATAATTTTGCGGAAGCTGTGAATTTTGCTCCTGCTGATTGGGTATATTATCATATTAAGGCAACATATTACATTTTCGTATTTGTACATATGTAGTTCATATAGTTATTCTGTGTTTAATAGCTCAAAATTGGACGAGAATGCATAACGCATTATTCAAATTTAAGACGATTTTGTGTATTTTCTCACGATGAATTGGTGTGTAAAATGTCGTTGGATCCAGATTCATTAGATATAGGAATTGCAACTGCAACTTATCATGATATGCTTCAAATGGTAGATGATGAAAAAAAGTTACGGAAGAATCTGTTGGAATGGGTAAGTGGTATACTTTTAGTTTTTAGATAATATAATTTTTATTTTTTAAACTTGATGCAAATATCAAAAGTTATTGAAAATAAAATATTTAAGTAAATTATTAAATATATAAAAAATGAATGTATATTTAATTATTTTACTGATTATAAATATGTTATTGTTTCATTGATATTTACGTATGTTCTATTAGGATTTTTCGAAAAAATATATTAAACATTCAAATATTGTTTCCAAAATCAACGTCAAACACATAGAATAGATTATAATTCTAAATGCAAAGCCTAATATATTTAGGTCAA